GGGTATGGGCAAGGGTCTGTTCACAAGAGTAGAAATGGCATGTCAAAGACAACTGTGTCACCATAGCCCACCCAGCCTGGGCAGTGGCTCACAAAGCTGGGAAGCTGGAGCACAGGGCACAGCCCGCAGGTGTTCCAGTTTGGAGAGTGTCCCTTCCAAGTGACTCAGTTGGTCTGAACCTCTCCAGACTGATGGTCTGGCCTCAGAATCTTCTCTGTAGAATGGCTTGTCTGCGAGTGGCCCTTAGCCATCTTTATTGCTAACCACCGTAGGGATGGGCCTAGTAAATCCCACTTTCAGAGACGTCCTGGAGCCATTTTAAGTAGTTTACCTTCCTGCTGAAGGAGCTTCCCTGCAAGATGGAATGTTTCAGTCTCTAAGGAAACAACTGCACAGCATCTTGTCGGTGGCTTACCCCAAACCAACAAACAGCCTCCTCTCTTGCAGATTCTTCTTTATTTTAAAATAAATGTTTACCGAATTTACTAAATCTAGCACAGAAAAAAAAAAAACTAAAACTAAATCCTTTATACACCAATTACTTGGGAATTTCAACAATGCAAATCTCAAAGTTTCAAGGAAAACCCTCTAGGATGTTTTGTCCCCTTGGGTCACAAGAAGCTGGGGTGAAGGCAGCCCCACACTTGGCTCAGAAGCTCCACTGTCATTCAGGACTGAAGACATTTCTATCTCTCCCTCCTACCATCCATTTGCCTGGGTGATGTGTCTTGTTATGACCCATACCGTGTAGATTCCTGTCATGACTTGAATGACACCCCAATGTAAAGGCAGGAAGAAAGAACATGAGGACAATGACAGTGAGAGAACTTTCCTAACATGTCTGTTTTCCTTAACTTACATATGTATGGGTATATATGTATGGGTGTGTGTATGGTGTATGTATATATATATTATGTTTGTGTATATGTGTATGTTGTATATATGTATGTATGTGTATATATGTGTATATATATGTGTGTGTGTGTGTGTGTGTGTGTGTGTGTGTATTTTTTGCTCAAAGGAAATACTTCCTCCAGAAGTTTTCCAAATGAATTTCTTATAAAACTTCATTAGCTACACACCCACACCTAATTACAAAGAAGGCTGAAAACACATTGATAATTTGTGAGATGGTGTCCCCATATGACCTATCATGGAAAAATAAAAGGACACATGATTTGACAACTAAATACCACAGACTACGGTAATTTGGCCCAAAGACACTTCATTCTCATAGTTCAGGAGGATGGGAGTAGGAGGTCATTGTGACAACTTCAGGTGATGAGGGCCACTCCTGACTCCCCCCAGTGTCTCCTGTGGCTTTTCTTTAAGGGGACAGAGGAGTAAAGAAGAAAGAGGAAGAGAGAGATAATTTCCTGTTGATTAAATTTTAAAACTAGGATAAAGTAATGAATTCCATCGACATTTTCATGCATACTTAAGATTGTAGTATACTCCCATTTGCTCACCCTTCTCTAGCCTTCCCTCCTCCATCACCTTGCTGGTCCTTTGCTGGGCCCCTTCCTGCACCCCAAACCCCTCTTCTGATTTCATTTCACATGCAGCACATGGATATTCCAGTTTAGATTCCAGGTATTAGAGCAAACATGATATTTTTCTTCTATTCCCTCTCCTTCCCTTTCCCCTTCCCCACCTCCTCCCTTAAGACCTCTTCCCCCGATGACACCCTTTCTAATTTCATGTCAAGTGTGTGTATATATGTTTATGTGTATATATATACATATATTTATTTATATACATAGAGAGAGAGAGACTTCTGACATGGGAGAATATATGCTGTATGTATCATACTGAATCCGGTTTATTTCATTTCGCATGGTGTTCTGTTTCAACCACATGGCAGGTCAACATTTAATGTTTTGAGAAACCTCCACACTGAGTTCTGCAACGCCTTCCTCAGTTTATATATCTACCAGAATTGTATAATGGTTTCTCTTTCCCCACATCCTGGCCAGCATTTGCTGTCACTTCTTGATTTATCCACTCTAACAGGTGGAAAATCAAAGCAATCCTCTTGTGCACTTCCTTCCTACGTGTGTTGAACACTTTTTTTCAAGTATTTATTGGACACTTGTTATTTTTTTTTCTTTTGAGAAATGTCTGATCAAATTTTAGCCATTTATTGATTAAATAATACGCTTTTTGGAACTTGAAATTTTTGTAGAGTCTAAATATCAGTCCTCTGTTAGATGGATAATTGGCAAGGATTTTCTTCCACTCTGTAGGCGATCTTCTCACTTTGCTGATTAGTTCCCTTCTATGCAGAAGTTTTTGTTTTAATTTCATGTATTGCCATTTGTCAATACTGTGGCTTATTTCCTATGCTTCCAATGACCTTTCCAGAAAGTCCTTGCCTATCCTTGCATCTGGAAGGATGCTGCCTATTTTCTGCTAGCACGTTCATGGTTTCAGGTCCTACATTAGGCTTTTGATACATTGAATTATGAACAGTTTGAACAATGTAGATCTAGTTTCATTCTTCTATAGGTGGATATCCAATATTCCCATCACTATGTGTTGAAGTGGCTATCTTTTCTAAAATCTATGTTTTTGACACCTTTGTCAAAAGTTAGGTGACTGAAGCTGGGCGGTGGTGGTACATGCCCTTAATTAACCCCAGCACTCAGGAGGCAGAGGCAGGCAGATCTCTGTGAGTTCAAGGCCAGTCTAGTCTACAAAGCAAGTTCCAGGACAGCCAGACGGTTACACAGAGAAACACTGTCTCAGAAAAAAAAAATAGGTGACTGTAGCTGTGTAAGTTTATACCTAGGTTCTCTGTTCTATTCTTTTTATTTACATGTCTTATTTGTGCTGTGTGCTAGTACCATGCTATTTTGTTACTATGGCCCTGAAGTATAATTGGAGATCATAGATCATGTTATCTCTAATTTTCTGTTTCTACATAGGATTGCTTTATCTATTTTTTTGTGTTTCTATGTGAACGTTAGGATGTTTTGTCCTATTTCTGTGCAATATGTCTTTAGAATTTTGATAGGCATTGTGCTGAATCTGGGGATCACTTTTGGTGACATAACCACTTTCACAACATTAATTCTATCAAACCTTGAATACTGGAGGTCATTTCATCTTCTAGTGTCCTCATTTTCTTTCTTCATTGTGTTTTCATGGTAGAAGTACTTCACCTCCTTGATTAGGTTTATTCCTAGATGGTTTTTTGTTTGTTTTAAGAATAAAACATATTATATTTTTTGAAGCTATGAAGGATTATTTTTTCTGATTTCTTTCTCAACAAGCTTATTATGGTATATAGAAAATCCACTTTTTTGTATGTTGATTTTATATCCTGCTACTTTGTTGAAAATGTTTATCAGATTTAAGAATTGCCTACCTGGTTGAATCTTCAAGGTCTTTTAAGTGCAAAATCAAATAGTCTCAAAACAGGGAGAACTTGACCCAGTCCTTTCCTATGTATGTCCCTTTATCTTGTCTCTTGCTGTGGATAGAAATAAAATACAGTATCATGAAAGGAGGGAGAAAAGAGGTACCCTTGTCTCTGGCTCTCCCATTCTGCAAGGAGATGTTAATGGTACCAATCTTTTGAGGATTGTATGCAGGTCATCCCAGCTACCCTGATTTCAAGGTGGTCATGAAGGACCAAGTTCTACAGCAGACACTGCCTCAAAAACATAACCACTTTGGGATTATTCTTTCTACCTACAACACAATTTTGCATAAAGTAGTATGGCTGTCCACTAAACAATTCATCTGTCAGTAATGGAGTCTTGTTGATATGGCATCATTGGTGTGCAAAGTGTGGAACATTAATGAACTCTGCAGTTAAGAATTCTTGGGAGTTCTAGAGCTTGCCATATTTTAAGTATTTTACAGCAGTCATCAAATGAAACGCTTCTATATCTTACTTGGCCATGGGTCTGCACATAGTTTCACATTTTCTGAATGGCAGAGCTACTGTGGTAAGTACCAGTGACTGCACTTTATAAAAGCACTCTAATGTCCCATGAGACAGCATTTGAACCAACACTGAAGGCCTCTCTGTCATTCAGTCTGATGTGATAGTCTACATGATACTGCACAAAATCTGTTTCTCTTTGGGTAAAATCTTCCTCCGTTGAAGTCATTTTCTTTTCTGCTGTCACTTTTATTTCTGTTAAACTTCTAACGTCATTCACTACCTGCTACTTTTTGTCCTTCAATGATGACAGATGAAAGCACTGAAAGGCACTAGGGGAACCATGAGGAACTGTAGGTGTCTCCATAGGAACAGGGCCATAAGGATAGCTGCCAGACAGAGGTATTATGGAAATGTTTAAGCATTTTCTATCTGCAGGCCAAGGACACCAGATGGCATGCTCAGCTAGCCCTTTGGTAATTTTCAAAATGCCAGGGTAGCTTAAGAAAGCTAATTCATTGTTCTAACAACCTGATCTACAGCTAATATGTTTTATTATCCAATCAGTGCTATCATTTGACTATGTACTCCAAAACTGGAACCTTGGTTCCCAATCAGAAATTCAGATAATCATTCAGTCTTGATAGCTCCACCATCATGCTTGGGTTAGCCCACTCATAGATTGATGTTATCATATGAGTGGCTTCATTATAAATGTGAACTCTACCTACCTATCTATATATCATCAATCTATCTCTGTCTTACTGTATCATGCCTCCTTATACATGTTGTTATGAGTGCATCATGTTATGATATCTCAGGAAGGGCCTCACCAAATGCTAGTACCATATTCTTGGTCTTGACAGTTCCTTAACTATAAAGTAAACAAAGCTCTATTTGTTATAAATTTATCTGTGTGATTCAGTTAAAGAAACAGAGAGTGGACAAAGATAGCCATAAAAGTCAACATTTTCATAGAGCAGAGAAGGACAGTGGTTTAGAAGTCTGTGGAGATCAGCAAGGCTGGTCTCTGGGCACTGGAAGAGTCAGGAGATGATGCCCAAAGGGAACTTGGTACTCTCTGTGCTATGCTGAACAGAATAGGATTCCTTACCAATGCACTTCTCAGCATTACGTAAGAATGGTTTTGTGGTGCTCAAAGGCCGGCCATGTAAGATCGTCGAGATGTCTACTTCGAAGACTGGCAAGCATGGCCATGCCAAGGTCCACCTGGTTGGTATTGACATTTTTACTGGGAAGAAATATGAAGATATTTTCCCGTCGACTCATAATATGGATGTCCCCAACATTAAAAGGAATGATTTCCAGCTGATTGGCATCCAGGATGGGTACCTATCCCTGCTCCAGGACAGTGGGGAGGTACGAGAGGACCTTCGTCTGCCTGAGGGAGACCTTTGCAAGGAGATTGAGCAGAAGCATGACTGTGGAGAAGAGATCCTGATCACGGTGCTGTCTGCCATGACAGAGGAGGAGGCAGCTGTTGCAGTCAAGGCCATGGCAAAATAACTGGCCCTCAAGGTGGCGGTGGTGGCAGCAGCCATCCTTGAGCCTACAGAGGTCCCTCCCCCAGCTGGGTTCCACTCTGGCTGGGCCCTTGGCTGGACTCCTATACAATTTATTTGATGTTTTATTTTGGTTTTCCTTACCCCTTCAAACTGTTCAACTGGGACATTCTGAGTTGATGAGAGGGTCTAAGTTTTATGTTTGGCAACTGTTTCCAAATCACAAGTGACCTCAAATGTTCTCAATACTCAAGAAGAAACTTTAATTTGCCAAAGATGATGAACCAATTGTTTTAGCAGAACTCAGGTAAGATTTCCTGTCTGACTTACATCAAACAGCATCATCCTTTGCAGGCTGTTCCACTGATAGCCCGATCTTGACAGATAGGCAAGGTTAGCTCTGGCAAGTTCCTTGTGTTCTTGAGTCTCCTATAGTGGAAGACATAATTCAAAATTAAAATGCTTCCTTGCTTAATAGCTTCATTGTTATGAGAGATGTCAATGGTACAAAAGAGATTAGCTACCTTAAGAGCTCTTACTAGTAGCCTGGCAATGGTTTTAGGAACACAATCTAAGAACAGAGTTGTATGAGGAGAATTCTGAGAGCTTGAAAGAAAACTCAAAGCATAATCTATAAACAGGCTTAAGATCAGAAACCACTTTATTATCTCAGTCAATGCAGACAAGTCCTTCAATGATGTTCAAAACCCCTTGGGATAAAAAGCTCTGAAGAAACTAGGAATAAAAAGAGCATAGTAAAGTCTGCATAACATAAAGATATAGTCAACATTATATTAAACTGGAAAGGCTGAGAGCATTTCCTCTAATGTCTAGAACAAGGCGAGAGTTTCCATTCTCTCACCTTTTATTCAATACAGTGCTCCAAATCTTACCTAGGGCAATAAGACGAGGGAAAGATGAGATGCTACAAGTAAGAAAACACCCAAATGATCCCCATTTACAGACAAACTGACCCTACACTCAAAAAACCCTAACGATTCTACCAGAAGATTCTGAGACTTACAAACACTTTCAGCAAAGTAGCAGGATACAGAATTAATATAATACACAATACACCTTTATATACTAATAATGAATTTGCTAAGAAATAAATTATAAAAATCGCATGCTCAATAGCTACCAAAAAATGAAGTATCTAAAAATAAACATAACCAAAGAGGGGACAGACCATGGAAGGAATTCATTGAGACACTAAAGAGTGAATCAAGTTGAAGGAGATACAAAAGTATAGAGAGCCATGCTCATGGTTGGGCAGATTTCTTACGTAAAAAACAGCTGTTACTGAGTGCAACCTGTAGATTCAATGCAATCCCTGTCAAAATTCTAGTATCCTTCTCAGAACTAGAAAAGAATAATCCTAAAATTCATATGGAAGCACAAAACACTGGAGAAATCACAGTACCTGATGCCAAATTATATTACAGAGCCATAGTAATGAAAATAGTCTGATATTAGCACAAAATAGGCATGGAGATTATTGGATGACAATAGAGGACATAGGTAAAATCCCACACAGCTTTATATACCTGATTTCCAACAAATGTGTCAAAAACATATTGGGAAAAGACAGTTCCTGTAACTAATGATAACAAGGAAAGCAGATGTCCAAATACTGAAGAATGAAACTAGATCTTTATCTCTCAATCTGCATAAAAATAATTCAAAATGTATCAAAGTATTGATGTAAGATCGAGAATTTTAAACTGTTAGAGTAAAACACAGGTAAAACACTTCGTGATATATAGACACAGGCAAAGATTTTTAAAACTTGGGGTTGGAGAAATAACTCCATGGTTAAGAGTACTTCTTGTTCTTACAGAGGACCCACATTCAGTACCCAGAACCTACACAGTGGTACACAACCATCTGTAACTCCAAATCCATGGAATCGAACACCCTCTTCTGAGCTCCAAGGGTATCAGGAGTACACATAGTGCATAGACACAAGCAGGCAAACACTCATAGAAATAAAATAAAATTTTAATTGATTAAAAAATCAAAATAAGGACCAGCCCGCAGCTCCCATCCTGCCCCGGACTTCCCGTCTGGACAAGAGGTGAGTGCCTGGCTCAGCCTATATCCCATCCTTGGGCACCAGACATTCCAGGGAAGACCTGCCCAACTTGGCTCCAGGTTCTAGCCATCGGGCAGGATCCCTTCTACCCTAACTGGGAAAGCTCCCCTTCTCCAAGACCCCCGGCAGATCCTGCAAACTCCACGCCCTGCCCCCACGCCCATCCACCCAAAACCCCAGCCACTTCCTGAGACTTAGAGACCAGCCCCCATCCTGCCCCGGACTTCCCATCTGGACAAGAGAGCTCCCATCTGGACAAGAGAAAGAAACTTCCTGAATCTGTTAGCTCTATCTGGATGAAGTGCACTGATAAGACCAAGAACGAACCACAAGGAGATGGGCAGAAGTACATACAACAAAATGAAGAGCAATACAGCATCACCAGAACCTAGCCCTCCTCCAACATCTAGACCTGAATATCAAAAATTGGAAGAAGCAGAAGAAAACAGCCTTATGAATAACACCATGAAGAAGGTAGAGGCTTATATAGAAGGAATCACAAATGAAATTGAGGAAAAGACAAACAAAAAATGGGAAGAACGCTATAAAAAAAAACTAGAGGAAAGGACAAATAAAGCAGAAGAAAACAATAAAGCCTTGAAAGAAAATCATGAAAAAGCAATGAAAGAGATGAAGGAAACAGTCCAAGACCTGAAAGGGGAAATAGAAAAAATGAAGAGGATACAAACAGAGGGAATGCTAGAAATAGAAAATCTGAGTAAACAAAAAGGAAATTCAAATGCAAGTATAACCAACAGAATGCAGGAGATGGAAGAGAGGATCTCTGGCATTGAAGATAAAGTAGAAGAAATAGATTCATCTGTCAAAGAAAACACTAAAGCCAACAAAGTCATGAACCAAAATGTCCAAGAAATTTGGGACACCATGAAAAAAACAAACCTATGAATAATAGGGATAGAGGAAGGAGAATACCAACTCAAAGGCACAGAAAATATATTCAACAAGATCATAGAAGAAAACTTTCCCAACTTAAAGAAGGAAATGCCTATGAAGAAACAAGAAGCCTATAGAACACCAAACAGACTAGACCGCCCAAAAAAGTACCCTCGCCACATAATAATTAAACAACTAAACGTACAGAATAAAGAAAGAATATTAAGAGCAGCAAAGGAAAAA